TTTTTGAAACTTCTTAAATTGTGATATCATTTTGAGGGGTTCAGGGTTTAAGGAAAAAAAGGAATTGCATATTTTAAATGTAGATGTGATGAGTTTGTTAAAAACCAAAAATTGATCATTAACAGTTTTTCAAAGCAGAAATGAAAGAGCCATTGAAGTACTGCCCAGGGTTAGCTACTGCACTGAAGAGCTCGGGGCGCAGCTCTCAAGCTGGCACAGCTGACGTTGCTGAATGCCTGCTGGATGGAAAGTCAGCAAAAGAAAAGCACTGCAGTGCCACTTTCTAATGGCGCAGTAGCTTGTCAAGTTAAAGATTCAGCTGTGAACATGGAGGCTGAACTGTAGGACTATTCTGTTGCCTTACACAGGACAAATCGATAGACTTGCTGTGTTCCTTGTGTTCATCTGGTCCCAGCAGCCTCAGATCAAAGTCTTTTATATGCATTTATATGTATTCATTTTATGGGGATAAATACAGTGGTGCAGGAACATTCGGAGTGAGTGCTGACTAACTTTATTCCTTGTGGCTGATTCTGGAGCAACTGTTGATGTTCACCCCGATGGTGCAAAAACAGTGGGTAAAAGTGCTAGTGCCTGAGTTCGAGTCAAAGCAGTGTCACCAAAAGGCACTAGTGTCATGGTATTCGTCACCGCAAAGCAACTGCTGGCTAATCATAGCCAGATTCACTTATGGATATCTTTGATGAAAGAGCCAAAATCACTAAATCTTCATCCTTGAGCCCACGTCTTTGTAATAGTGTGAATGGCAAGGGAAACACAAAGCATGTCTGCCGCAGATTCAAATGTAACGGTTGTTTTTAAGAAAAGCAGTCATGAGACTAAGTTGAAAGCCAATCTGCTTTTTTCAAGGAACACCATGTTTACATATGGCAGACACATTATTGAAGAGGAGGCTGTCTCTTCAAGAAAAACATTTGTTTGCCAAGGATAATAATATTCAGGCTTTCCAAAGTAAACACAGAATTTTGGAGAACTTTTCGTCAACCTCCATGAGCTTGCTACTTTCCAGTATTTTCAATACTTTACATTTCTAATGAGGTTGGTGGCAAGTGTTAACATATGCAATTTTAAAAACTGACACATAATTCACATCCTCTAAAATTTACCCTTTTAAAGTGGTTTTTACATATTCACAAAGTTATGTCACTATCACCTTTCTGTAGTTCCAGAACGTTTTCAGTACCCCAAAAGGAGACCATTATCAGCACTTCCCAGCTCCTACTTCTCCCTATCCTGTGGCAACCGCTAATCTACTGTCTGTGTGAATTTGCCTAATATGAATATCTCATATAAATAGAATAACTATGTGATTTATACACACAGAGTAGCAATGAGATTTTAAAATCTCATATGAGAACACTTGGAAGATTTACAAAACTAAGTAGACCAGTATTTTCCAAATGACCAAAGCGTTCAGTTACAAAATTATAAATAAGGTAAAGACCCATCTAAAGTGTAACCTAATTCAATGGATTGTAATATAACATTGTACAAAAAAATTCATTTATATTGTTTTAGATTCCACTGATTTTTAAAAATACCAATCATCGAGTCGGCATGTTATCAAAGACATGTTTGCAGAAGCAATTATGAGAATCCACCTGTTTTTTCTTAAACCAGATATCAACAACAACAATAAAACATTTAAAGGTAAAACAATGCTACTATTCTGCTGAGAGCCATAGCCGAGTATGAATGATGCATGGCATTTTTGCCAGAACTAAGTGGTTGAGAGGTGATGCCAGCAAGCCATTGAGATGATAATGGTTATGTTAAGCTGTGTATATTAGACCCCTGCTGTCCGCCAAGGCCTGCTACTTTGGAGTTCTCGTGGGGATTCCCGGAGCGTTCCCATTGGTTGGGGAAGTGCCGGAGGAGGGATTTCCGGTTGGTGTGTGGTGTGTCCAGAGAGAAGGCCACATGCGTGGTGATTGCGGGAGTTCGGAAATAAAGTTTGTTCCTGCTTCAGTGGCTCGTGATTTGTGCCCAGCCAGACTGTGGCACTATTCTTACTTTTTTGAAAATATAGTTATTTTTCATAAAATGTTATTATTAAAGGCCCTGGGTTTGAAAAGACAGCCTCATCTTCAATAATGTGTCTGCCACATGTAAACATGGTGTTCTATGAAAAAAGCAAATTGGCTTTCAACTTGGTCTCATGACTGCTTTTCTTTAAAAACCCCACACTTATCTATATTGGCATATTTCTTGTTGTTTGTTTGTTATTTGTTTTTGGTATTGGTCCTGGGGATTATCTCAGGGGTGCTTTAACACTGAACTACATCTCCAGTCCTTTTAAAATTTTTTTTTATTTTGAGACAAGTTCTCACTAGTTGCTCAGAGCCTCGCTAAATTGTTGAGGCTGGCTTTGAACTTGCTATCTCCTGCCTCAGCCTCTGAAATCACTGGGATTACAGGCATGTGTCACCAGGCCCAGTTCATTATTGTTATTTTAAAATAAAGCAATCCATATTTTAAAAATTAATTTTGATTTCTAGTATGCTAAGTATTGCTGATATAACCCACAGAAACAAAGCCCGCATTATTTTTTGGTTATTATTTATTTATTTATTTTGCTGGATTGAACCCGGGGCTTCACATAATCTAAACCAGCACTTGACCCCTGAGCTACACCTCCATCTCTACCTCTGTTGGTTTGTTTGTTTATTTATTTATTTATTTTTGTACCAGGGATTGAACCCAGGGGCACTTAACCACTGGGCCACATCTGCAGCCCATTTTATTTATAGACAGGATCTTGCTGGGTGGCTGAGTCTGGTTGCTTCCTGTCTCACCTCCTGAGATGCTGGGATTACAGGGTTGGGGGGCCACCTCCCTGTTGGTTTTTAAGTGTTAGGGAGACTTCTGACCAAGTCTGTTCTTTGACAAGTGGTCGTTCCTGGTGATAGTTCTTCAATTTTATTTTTCTTTCTCTTCATCTTGTATATCACCAGTGACAGTTTCACTGGAACAGGTTACAAGACACATCTCCCTCAGCTCTGGGATCAGGGACACTCTTGGTGGGCGGTGGTAGCAGCTTACTCGGGCAGGCCGATTGTTGAGGGTGGGGACTACGCATCAACCTTCTTTGTGCCTATAAGAGCCCAGCTTACGTTTTCTGATTTGGAAAAGGACAGAGCTGAGAGCCATTGTAGTAGAATAAAAGTGCTCCACGGATAGCAGTTGGCCAGAATGCTGCATAACAGGAAATGATAGTCAGGACAAATATTTAAAACCAAAATGTCCCCCAAAAGCTCATGTGTGAGACAAGGCAGCAATGTTCTGAGGTGAATGATTAGATTACAAGAATTATAACCTAATCAGTGAATTGATCCACTGATTTGGACTAATCTGGGTGCTGACTGTAGGCAGGCAGGCTGTGGCTGGAGGAAGCAGGTCACTGGGGCTGTGCTTGGGATCTACATTTTGTCCTTGGTGACGGAGTCTCTGCCTCCTGGTCGTTGCCTTCCTCTCTACGGCCGTCCACCATGGCGTCCTGCCTCACTTGGGGCCAGAGCTACAGAGTCAGCTGCCCATGGACCTCTAAAGCTGTCAGCCAAAATAAACTTTTCCTTAAAACAAACAAACGAACAAACAACTATAACAAAAAGCTCTTTCTCCTCTAAGTAGTTCTTATCCGGACTTTTGATCAGAGCCACCCGAAGCTGACTAAAAGGGTGGGCTTCCAGTTTCAGTGTGTGCTAAGAATTGGCTGATAAACTTATCCAAACAGCAGATTTATTGGTCCCACTCAGTAAGTTTCCAATCCTCTTGGTTTTAAGTAGGACCCCAAATCTGCATTTAAAATTATTTTGGATACAAGTTTTAGATTGAAAAGACATTATGTGCATAAGAAAAAAAAACCCACTCAGCCTCCAAATTTTCTTTCCTAGAGCCAACCACTACTAGTTTTCATGTCCCCTCCATCAAGAAATGCTCTACATGTATATAAACCTATGTGTGTATGAATGATCTTTTTGTTGCTAATAAAACTATAATTGGAGCTGGATGGGGTGGCACAGGCCTATAAATCCATCAACTCGGGAAGCTGAGACAGGAGGATTACAAGTTTGAGGCCAGCCTCAATGACTTAGTGAGACCCTCTCAAAATAAAATATAAGAAGGCTGGGGATGTAGTTCAGTGGCAGAGCACCCCTGGGTTCAATCCCTAGTTGGATTTGGAATTGGAAACATACTAAACATATTGCTCAGGCTGTCTCTGTATCTAAAATCCTAGTCCCAGTGAATGAGGAGAGAGAGTAGTTTTTATGAGGGCATTTGTACCTATTATTTAATAAGCTGTAAGCACCATCTTCCTTAAACATATGTAGTCCTTATGATCATGAGTCCCTGGGTTCAACCCCTAGTACTGCAAAATAAACAAACAAATAAATAATACCAAAAGGCATATTGCTCTATTTTTCTTTCTTTTTTTTTTTTATTTTAACAAGGATATCTTGAAGACTGCTTCCCAATTCCACATATAGACTGGTCTTTCTTTTTTTTGTCAAATAATTGCAAAATTTTACTAAGCACTATATTTTGTTTCCTATTTGTGAACATGTAAATTGTTTCCAATTTTTTATTTAAAAGAAATAAGGCAAATTATCTTCATTCCTGTCTGTTCATATGTAAGAGATAAAAATTTCAGAAATGAAATAGCTGTGTTTTAAATTTACCATTTGAACAAAGATACTTTTTAATAAGTCTTTGCATGAACCTAAGTTTTTATTCTTTCAAACTTGCTGGAACTTGCTTAACATTATCTATTTTACTTATTTTTCTGTTTTTTAAAAGTTAAATTTAATTTTTTAAACTTACATATAAACAGATTGCACCCAGCAACACCCCAGGTGATTCCTTCCAGAGGTTCTGTGACCAGGTCTGGAGAAGCACCGTTGCAGGTGAAAGAGCCAAACAGATAATTAGTCCTCAGCTTCACTTTAGGAAGGTTCCCGTCGAGAACAAAAGAACAGAGATTTTACATGAAAACTCACCAACCACCTTTAATGAGGACAAATTTTATTTAGTTACATGTAAATGAAAGTCACGTGGGCATGTAAGGGGAAAACTATAAAGCACATGAAATAAATATACAATTAACCCTTCAAAGTGTCTTCAAAGAACTGTGTAGAGTAATATCAGTAGGAGAGATTTGCTGTAATTCTTGATTAATATTCTGATATCAACATGAATATTGCAAGCAGGTCTTTCTCCAGTTTTGTAACACGGGAACATCTGCTGCTTTGGTAAGAGTCACCACTTCCATGAATACAGTCAGTTAACCAATGAGTGTGCAAACCGAATGTGAGCAGGTCTAACTTGGAGTAATTGCAGCTGGGTCACTGGATTAAAAAGTTCACAACTTAGAGTGCACCACTCGAAGTGTGAACATCTGGACTTGTGGGCTATAGCACCATTCAGAAGATTTAACACTGCCTCTTGTTATTTAGTGTTGTCAGAAAAATGCAAGTAATGTGGTTTTAAACACACAGCATGTTTTTCAATCTAGTTATCCTAATTTTAGGGTAAATACACATGTACATATATAGCATTGCCTCAGCTTTTATGATTACCAGATCAAAACAGAGAGGATGGGCTTCTGTAACAGCAGCCAAAGCTGTAATAACAAATGGGTGGTGGTGCTAAGCCAAAGAAGGATGGCATGCAAATTGTTAACTATGGTAATTCCCATGCCATTCTCAGATCACTAGAGGGGATATCAAGTGTGTCAGTCAGCCATGCTTTTGCTTCTCCTATTAGCTGCCTTTTGTTATCCCTGTTATTTTGGCGGTACTTTCAGTACATACGCCTCCTGCTAGACATTGGAGTAGGAAATAATGGAGATGAAACCAATGGAAACTTGTCCATTTAATCACTTAACAGCTTGGAGGGTTGGTAGAGCACAACACAACTGCTGGCTAATCAGGCATGGGGTAGCATTCGGTGATTCTAAACTGTAGTCGCATTCCTGTTTCTAATCACCAAGGATAATTGAAAATGGGCTGTATTCATTTTAGAAAAATATGACCCAAGACACTGCCAATGATATTAAAGGACTGTTTTTGTGTGATGAGAAAATTGCGAGTAGAAATTTATTTATTTATGATTTGCAGTGCTGGGGATCAAACCCAAGGCCTTGTACTTACTAGGCAAGCGCTCTGCCCATAAGGTACACCCCAGCCACAGAAGTAGAAATTTCCATAGTTTTAAGGTATGTGTAAACAAGTAAGGCAGCCAGAAATTTCAAAATGATTCTCGGAAGAAACATTCTGCAGTCTGAAAAATGTTTGGCTTAGAAAAATAGACATCTCAGATAAAGGAGGGCATTATTCATACACAGTCGTGTTGTGTATGAAATCAATGAAGAGAACTATTTTTAAAACTGTGCCCAGCTCAGGCAAGTGAATGATCTACAGATCAGTGAGAGGCACCGGGGACAGCCACTTGTCACCACCACTCCAGCGTCAGGTGCACAATCATCTAGACCAAGGGTGTTCTATTCATCTCCCTCACAACTTGACAGGCTGGTGTTTTGGATTCAGCAGCATGCTTTACAAGTGATCAAATCACCGAGTTTTTATGTTAATCAGCAATTAGTTCTCTATTCTATTTGTTGGGCAGGAGAAACTCAGAAAAAAAGTGTTCAAGGCCACAGGTCATGCTCATAATCTGACAGCCCAGTGATATGAATAAAAGTGCTTGAATCATAGCCCTTGATTCAATGGTTGTGTGCACAAATGCAGCTTCTGCTAAGGAAATCATTCACCGTATCTGCTTGTTGAGGTTCGGCCTTAGGATTCAGCTCATCACCGAACCGTCTTTTAATACTGAATAACTGAATTAGAATTGATGGCCAATGCTGCCTCTTATGGGAAGATTTATAAATTGTACTTCCTCGCTGTAGAATTCATTCTTAAAAATATAAACCGTGTACTAAACTGTATTGGAGCCTGTCTTTGTATTCTACTGGTAGATCAATAACTTCCTATAATTAATTTCTGAATCCAGTCGTATTCTTGGGCTTGAGACCCACCTATCCACACACTTTCTGGAGGCATATGGATGCTTCAGTTACACCTTGCAAAGAAGTAGATGAGTTGAAAAGCTCTTATTCCCTGTCTTCGTATCTAAAATCCTAGTCCCAATGAATGAGAAGAGAGAGTAGTTTTTATGAGGGCATTTGTACCTATTATTCAATAAGCTGTAAACACCATCTTCTTTAAACATATGTAGTCCTTAATACCCTCCAGCAATGCCTGAAAGCAGAGGCAGTGCTACTGGAAAAAAGTAATGACAATGGCATTTACAAAGCTCTTCCCCGCTGTCACAGCTCCTCACAGGCTCCTCACAGCAACCAAGCGAGGTAGGCATGAGTACCACAAATGAAATCCGACTTGAATCACGTGACACTAAGCATGTGCACCATCTATGTATTTTCTTCTGGATTGTTCTATAATTTGAATACATGGTTGGATGAGTAAGAAGAGTATTCCTACCATGTAAAGCAAACCACATATATAGAAGGAAAAATCATATTTTTGTGTGATGTCGAAGATCCACCCTACAAAACAAGAAAAGATCATATTCAGTATAACACAGTTGATAGAATAAAAACCCAAGTACATAAAACAGGCACTTATTTATTGCCACTGCAATAAATATAGGGATTGATTAATTGCTATTATTATTAATTATCATCATCATCATCATTATTTTTGGAGCTAGGTAAGTGCTCCGCTGCTAGGCTACCCACCCTCAGCCCTCATTGAGCCATTTTTAAGAGCTCTCTATACAAGTCAGTCTTTCCAGTGCCTGCGGATGGCTGGGCTTATTGGTTGAATCACTTGGGGACTTGTGGCTGCTGGCCCCTGAGGACAACCCCCTGGCTCGCTGCCCTCAGGTGAATCTGCAGCCTGGCCAAAGCCAAGGGTTAAAAGTGAATCTAGAAACATTTTGATCCAAGATGGCGAGCTAGAGGGAGGCTGCATACTGTATCAGTCCATGACCTGGGATTCAAGTAGTGGGACTAATGTTTCTCTGTGAGTGATCAGAGGACCCCCGACAGCTGCTCCCACACAGGACATCTATCTACCAAAGTGAGGCTCCCCCAGTTGCCTCCATCTGGGGTCAACTCTGCAGCCACTGCCATAAAACCTACACATGGTAGCCTGCCTGCACCTGGGACACCACACAGGGTCTGGAGACAGCCCTCAGCCATAACACTGCACACCACAGAGCCACATCTCTGAACACATCGCCCAGCGCTGCCTCCCAGCCCCACCTGACCCCACACCCCATTGCTGCAAGCAGCCACCTCCACCCTGGGTCACCTTCATTGCCATCTTTAGTTGGTGCAACTCCCAGCTTGGTACATCAGCTGGGCAGATACCGAGAGACCCCAACTGCCCTCTGTCCCCGGCAGCTGCTACCCGGCACAGTGACTGCCCAATACAAAACAGCTCTCCGAGACAGGTGCACAGCCCCCAGAGTGCAGCCCACAAGACCTTGGGAGAGAAGGTTCCTGATTGGGAAGTCGAAAGGGAGCGGGTGGGTGAGATACAGTTTAGAAACTAAATTAGAGACCAGGAATTATAAGGTCTACAGGCGATATAAGGAGATAAGACTAGGCACCCACATCTCACGAGTGGGCCCCAAAGGAAATGCTTGGGGTGCAGTCTCTCATTGGGGACAGGCAGGTGCTATACCTCACTTCCAGGAGCCCCACACCCAAGACCAGATCTCTACCCTGATAACCTTCACCAGGATGAGGGTGCAGATACCAGCAAACATCAGACAACCTCCCCTATTGGATGAGAAGGGAAGCAGGAAAGATACTGGCCTCCAACAGAAACAATCCTTGAATCTTCCTTCAAGTTTTTTTCCTTCCCCACTCTATTCTCCCACCTTCACATCCCCAACATTTGTGAAACTAAAGACTTTGCATGAATTAGGGTACTGAGGACTGGGTCGTCTGAATAGTATAATACAGTTGTGTTGTACATTCTTTCATCTCCTATTTTAACATTTTAAATTTTTTCTTAATATTTATGTGTGTTTGTTTTATATACTCTATTGCTTTCCCACTTCTTGTCTCCCCCAAATCACTTCCTCTCTCTTTTCCTGCTACTAACAAACTTCTTTAGCTCCCTCTTTCACAGGTTCCTAAGATCTAATGACTCCATATCCTCACCTCCTACCCACGCAACATCTCATCCTACACTTCACTCCTGGTTCTTTGTCCACCCTCAGAAACTGTAGACCATTTTGCAAACCTACTATTTATATTGTAGATAATAAGTGAACCATTTCTGTATATTGTGCCAAAACCGTAAATGTCTTAATAGCAGCTATTTGGATTAAGGGTGTATATTGTTTGTACTGAGATCTGTTTACATTGTTCTCTCCCTCAAAGGAGAGATACTGGAACTCTGCAGGGGCACTATAAGCCTATAGGGTAAAAAACGGTAACACCTCAGCTCCACAGTGCTAGAAGGAAAAACACAAACAACATGAAAAAACAAGGGAAGAAAGTGCCCCAAACAAATCAAGATACTGCATTATTAGAATCCATGGCCAGTACAATAGAAGAAATGACAGAGAAGGAGGTCACGATGTACATAATTAAAATGTTCTGTGAATTAAAGGATGATATAAGAGAGCAAATACAGACAGCAAAAGATCATTTCGATAAAGAGCTACATAAGCAAACACAGGAAGCAAAACATTACTTCAATAGGGCGATAGAGGTTCTGGAAAAAAAAAAAGAAATCCTTGAAATGAAAGAAACAATAAATCAAATTAAAAGCTCAATACAAATCATCACCAATGGATTAGATCACTTGGAAGACAGGACCAGACAATAAAGACAAAATATATAATCTTGAAAAGAATGTTGACCACACGGTGAAGATGGTAAAAAACCATGAGCAGAACATTCATTAATAATGGGAAGCCTAAAAAGACCAAATTTAAGAATTATTGGGATAGAGGAAGGCATAGTTTGTAAACCAAAGGAATGAATAATCTATTCAGTGAAATAATAGCAGAAAATTTTCCAAATATGAAGAATGAATCAGAGAATCACATACAAGAGGCTTATAGGACACCAAAAGTACAAAATCACAACAGATCCACCCCAAGGCCAATTATAATGAAAATGCCTAGCATATGTTTCAGTAAAATTGAAACAAAAGAAATGATTGAGAAAATTGAGAAAACAAAAAGTTGTTTCTTTGAAGAAATAAATGAGATTGACAAATGCTTAGCCATGTTAATGAAGAGAAGGAGAGAGAAAACTCAAATTACTAACATCCGTGATGAAAAAGGAAATGTCACGATGGACACTATAGAAACACAGAAGATAATTAGAAATTATTTTGAAAATTTGTACTCCAATAAAATAAAAAAATATTGAAGGCACTGACAAATTTCTAGAGTCATGTGATTTGCCCAAACTGAATCAGGATGATATACACAATTTAAACAGATCAATTTCAAGCAGTGAAATAGACGACACCATCGGTAGCCTACCAACCAAGAAAAGCCCAGGACTGGATAGATACACAGCTGAGTTCCACAAGACCTTTAAAGAAGAACTAATATCAATTCTCCTCAAATTATTTTGTGAAATAGAAAAAGAAGGAGCACTTCCAAACTCATTATATGAGGTCAATATCACCCTGATTCCAAAACCAGACAAAGATACATCAAAGAAAGAAAACTTCAGACCAATATCTCTAATGAACATATATGGAAAAATTCTCAACAAAATTCTGGCAAATTGAATCTAAAAACGTGTCAAAAAAATAGTGCACCATGATCAAGTGAGGTTCATCCCAGGGATAAAAGGTTGGTTCAACGTACAGAAATCAATAAATGTAATTCATCACATCAATAGACTTAAACATAAGAATCATATGATCATCTCAATAGATGCAGAAAAAGCAAAGGAGGGAGCATGGAGGTAGAAAAGACAGAATAAGACGGACATCATTACCCCAAGGACATGTACGAAGACACGAATGGTGTGACTTTACTTTGTGTACAAGCAGAGACATGAAAAATTGTGCTCTATATGTGTAATATGAATTGAAATGCATTCTGCTGTCACATATAGCAAATCAGAATAAACAAACAAACAATAGTGAATCTAATGATTTTCTTCTTTACAAGTACAAACTATAAAACTCTCAACACTCTTTGGAAGAAGTGTCTAGGGCATATCAGAAGAGGCAGAAGAGAAGACATTTGAACTTTCATTCATTCTGAAGTATGTGAAGATGAATGAACACCTGTTCCAAAAAGAATCAACATTTCCGGGTTTTACAAAACTCACATTTACAGCTACAAAATTTTAGTTATATTTTTAAATTCTTTTAACATATACATACAAATTTACCTATAAATGGGGCACCATGTAATGTTTTGATAATATAAACATTGTGTAATGTTTAAATATGGATAAATGTATCTCTCCTCAACATTTATTGTTTCTTTGTGGTGAAAACTTTCAAAATCCTTTCTTCTAGCTTTTCAAAATGTACACTACACCATTGTTACCTGTAGCATCCCACTGTGCAAGAGAAAAGCAGAGCTTCTTGCTCCTAACTCCAACTTAGCACCCATTGATCAACCTTTCCTCAACTATTAAACTTTAATATTTAAAGATTTAAAACCTGGAATTGCCAGATACATCTTTAGCTGTTGACTAAAGTATCAGTCCTTTTTGAATACTAACAATATTACAAACTCACATATTCATATAATAATCTTATTAAGCTGCTACTACTATATATTATTACTATGAATTTCTTGGATTCTAAGATATTGATATACCGTTATTTCATTCTCAGGAAGAAAGATACTTGTCAATTCAAATATGGCTCAATGCTTTCTTAGGACTTTTAAAATACATTCTAATTTCAGAGATGCTAAAATGTGAAAAAGAAATGTGTCTTGGAAACCGTGAAATATATATTTTTTTACTTAAGTGATTAAAGCCACTGAGAGTCAGTCTCAAGCCACTGATCTCACAAAGCCAACTATGCAAACTAAGACTTAGCTACACCATAAATTTTACTTGTGGTAAAGCACAAATTTTGATTACTCACTTTTTCCATTTTGGTAATTGTATTGGTTAGCAAAAACTTAAAAAAAAAAAAAAAAGATAAAGATTTTTTTTTTCAGTGCTGGGGTTGGAACCCAGGGCCTCATGCATGCCAGGCAAGGGCTGTACCACTGAGCCACACTCCCAGCCCCATAAATGATTTAATGACTGAACATACGCTTGGATGCTTTTCAAAAATACCTTTAAAAAGCATCTAATTGGCAAATGTATACATAAGTGCAACGTAACCTTCACCCACCAACAATCAACCACACAAAAGCAATATAGTATAAACCAGTCCCTCGGACGTTTGATAGTTACCTGTATCTGTTTATTGTATCAAGTAAATAATTAATAAGCCTTGATTATCTGCTTACAGGTGTCAGTCAAGGCATCATAAAGAAAAGCAAACAATGCCATTAAAAATACACAATCTTTCTTTTCTTGAGATAAAT